AAAAATTCAATCCTCTTCAGGTTTGGAATCGCCGTAAAAAATCACTAAAAGATCTCCATCATTGTGAAACGTTTCTCCAACACCAGCTTCACCTAAAGTACTAATTACTTTCCCTTTTGATTAGCTACAGCCAGTTTTTCTTTATTCTGTAATTTATAGCAATCCTCAACTAAGTGTCCCTTCCTCTTGCAATAATTACAAATTTTATTTGTAAAGTTAAACTTTAATTTTCCCCTTCTAGAACCCCCGTCAACAATAAGGTCATCTTCATGAGCTTCAATTCAAATGAGAAGCTTCATTTCCTTTTTTTTAATAAAGAGCATCATAAACATCTTCAATGGTGAAAGTATCACTACTAGACAAGATCATGTCTCTGAACGACATCTATGAAGCGGGTAATGAACACAACAAAACCAAACCTAAATCTTTTTCATCATTTATGACCTCCAAGGTTTCAAGATCAACGATGATTTCCTTAAACACGACTGGGTGATCTTCAAGAGATGTACCGTCTGACAAATGAAGAGAATAAAGGTGATCCTTCAAGTGAAATTTACTAGTAAAATTCTTTGTCATCCATAATTGCTCCACTATTAACCATAACGCTGTGGCAAACTTTTCCTTCAAAACATTCCAAAGATTGTTATTCGATAGATGAAGATGAATTTGAGATAAGGTTTTTTGATCCCTTCGTTGTTTCTCCCTCATAATTCCAAGTTATGGATATCTTGTCAAATCCTAATAATGCATTGTCCAAATCCATTCGAACAAGTATTGCTCGCATCTTTACCCATCACAATGAAAATGTTAAGGTGCAATCCAAAAGTGGAATAACAGAGAAAATAGTTGTCATTCCAAAAAGAAAATCTCCCTATGAATAAGACCTTAGCTTTAATACCAATTTTTATAAACAACAGAGAAAATACAGGATAACTTCGATATTAATTGTTGTGATATAGGCAAGAAAATAATACAATACAATATGAAATAATTTATCACAAACTTAAGAATAAAATAATTGGTAGAGGAATGAATATTTCACTAAAATATGGAGAAAGAATTATAATGATTTTGTATTTCGAGTTGTCTAACTTGATCCAAAATAAAATGAAGAGTTAAATATATATTGGGAACATCCAAACCCTAATCTTGGTGTTGTAGAAGAAGTAGAATGCAAAAAAATCCCGTTTAAATTGGATTAGGAGACCAAAAATCTGCACATAAAGAGAACAGGTGGCGCCCCCGGCTGCCAGGTCCCGAATTTTACCTCCTTTTGATGCTTTTCTTCATTCTTTTGTCATCTTAATCTCTTTAAGTTTGATACAATTCCAACTTCCAATAGAATTTGCAAATAGAATTTCAACTAAAATTTGTCAAATAGACTTTGAACAAGATTTCAAAAACGGACAGAACATATGATAAAACGAATGGGTTAGACACAGAAATATACCAAATTATTTGAATTTTAAACACCCCTAACCATCCCGTCTAAAAGCTAAAGCTACTAAAGAAGGCCCAGCATATTCGTTTGAGCTCCACCTTCAACAAACACACGCAAGATTGTATGATTGCAACTCTGTTAGTAATAATGGGCTGCTTCACTGTTAGTTGATGGCCCAAAACAAAAGGAAATCCACTAAATGGACTTGGACCATTATCATTTTCGGGTTGATAAAAACATGCCTTTGTGAAATGCGATTCTATGCCTCTAATGGGAGGGGATCTGCCGTCAACGTGGCATCAT